GGACAGACTCTGAGCCTGTATTGTGCGGCGGCCTGAGCACAGAGTAGGTCAATGCAGAGGGACGTGATCGGGTCTGTGTCTTAGGAAGGGACATCCGGCAGCTCTTTGAGGGTTGATGGAGGGGGCTGATGAGGAGCTGGTTGACAATCGAGGACTTGGCAGTCACCTCAGAGTTAGCCCCTGCTCTCTGCACCCAGCTGTGATGCTGGAGGGAGCTGTCCTCATATGGAGCCACCCATGTGTTCCTGGAGGTTGGGTGGGAATGACGCCTCAGCCCCGTGGTTACCCTCAGCCGTGAGAGGAGAGGAGAGATTGGTTTGAAAAGCTTGTAAGGCTTGCCTGGTCTCTCGGGTGCTTTCGGAACTCCGTGGCTTACGTGCCGATCTGCTCTTTCGTTCCACAAAGAACGGTTGGGCGCCTGCTCTGTGCCGGGCACCGTCCTAGGCGCTGGGAGCACAAGGGGCCACGCGGCTCGCCCTCGGAGCCTGTGTGCACATTGTCCAGGTGTGGGCAGCACAGTGGGCAGCAGGGGGGCAGACAGACCGCCAGTGATCATGCCAGCAAGGCTGCAGTCCGCACGTGCCTCGGTTAGCTGGTACATTCGCTTCAGGATTGCGTTCTGCTGTTGAAAGCAGCGTGGTTGTGACCAAACCTTGCCCTCGGTTTTGTATCCTGAGCGTGCAGCTCGTTGTAAATAACTGCTTTAGAAATCTGCGTGAGGTCCCATCGCTTGGCGTCCCGCTCTGATGTCACTGGCCTGTGGCGGATTTCGGGGCTTGCTGGTTGTGGGCCACAGTAAATGATGGTGCGGTGAACATCTCTTTGCGCTGAAACTCGTTTCTCTCCCACCTGTTGTGTTAGAAGTTGGATTCCAGGTGGGCAGTTCCTGCATTCAGGGATTGTGGGCACATTCAAGGCTTTTACCAGATTGTTTCACAAACGAGGCGAATCACTTTATATCCCCAGCAGGACATCAGAGTGAGGACTCAGTTCTTTCCCAAGCCCTGAACCCCGCGGATCTTTACAGCAGTGCCCCGAGAGCTGCAGAGGAGGAGAGCAAGTTTCGAAGGGGAGGTGGGGCCTGCCTGACCTGCTCCTCAGGCAGGGGGAGGACCCTGGGGTCTGGAAGCTCAGGTCCTGCCCACGCTGCCTCCTAGAGGAATGCTGAGTCTTCTCCTTTTTCTGTAGGCCATGGATCCCTCCTCTGTTGCCTTGGTAACCCTGGGCTCCTCAAAGGAGATGCTGTTTGAAGGAGGTCCCAGACCCTGGATCCTCGAGCCCTCCGAGTTCTTCCGGAATGTTACCTCGGAGGACACTGACAGCATCAGTGTGGCTCTCTTTGGTCCTCCTGCTTCCCGGAATTACCAGCAACACTGGATCCTTGTGACCTGCCAGGCCTTGGGTGAACAGGTGAGTGGGCAGTGGCCCCCCAGACCCACCTTGCCCAGAGGCAGGGTTGGAGAATCACTCACTGAGCATCATTTTACTTAATCCTCAGAGTAACGCTGACAGATAGCTGCTGCTATTGTGCCCGCTTTATAGACAGGCAAACCGAGGCATGATGAGGTGGGATGACTGAGTGAATACCAGGCAGGGAACAGCGTGCAGTGCCAGGGGCTCCCTGGTCCCCACTGGCTTCGATAGAGCTGGCCAGGCAGGGCGGCCTCCTGCACCTCCCGGCTTCAGCATCCCTCACTACCAAACCGGGGCTTGGGGCGTTTGAGATCAGGGGTCTCAGAGTCAAATGCCTCCAGGATCAGTCACATCATAGCTGAGTGAGACCATAGACACAAGTTGGGCACATCTTTTTGGTGTTTTGGGATAAGTTGGATATTGTGTGTGTGTGTGTGTGTGTGTGTGTGTGTGTGTGTGTGTGTGTGTGTGTGTGTGTGTGTGTGTGTTGTAATCTCTTAATTTTTTTTTTTATTGCTAAAAAACACCTCTGTGACCCCACGTGGCCAGAATGGCTGGCTGGGGGTGTTGTCTTGCTGTTCAGGTCCCCCAGTGCCCAATGCTCCCTTGCCTGTAGCCGGCCAAGGGCGGGGGCCAGGAGCTCGTGGGGCTTATAGCCAGGATCTACTGCCCAGCGCCCAGGGCTCCCCAGTGGGGGACGAGAGGCAAGGCGGCAGCACAGAGCCCGTGTCTTTGGGGAAATGAAGAATATTCCTGCATGTCTGATAGTGCCAAGAGTATTAACTGATGTGAAAACACAAATGTGCACACCTCCCATGTGCCCTTGTGGCACCAGCCACACCGCAACCGAGTTGGTATGATCAGAAAAGATCTGGGTGAAAGGCCACGCCCCCCCCATGGGTTTTGTTTGTGAATAAACAATAGAATAATGAGAACAGCTACATAATAATAATACAATAGCAAGAATAAAATCATTCCTGAGTTAAGTTGGAAAAGTTTCTTATCCCTGGCTTGACCCTGTCCTCCCTGTCCCTGCTCTGGTCTGTAGGAGTTTGGCCCCCAAGCAGGTGACCCTGAGGGCCCTCCCCAGCCATGCTCTGTGGCTTCCTCGGGTGGGCACCAGAGGGGTGCAGACAGGAAGGCTGCAGGAGCCGGGGGAAACTGCCCTCCGTGCTGCCTCGTGGTTGGCGGGTGAGGGCCTCTGGAGCAGACCGTCGCTTCTCCAGAATGTGGGTGTCCTCTGAGGAGGCCGAGGACACTCCCACGGGATGCGCATTACCTGTCGCACCTATGAACCAGGGGCCGATTTTTATAGGCGTCATTTCTGTGTTCCCAGCTCTGTAAGCAAACATAGGTTTCCCTGTCTTTCCTTACACCTTGAATTCCCTCCCTGCAGTGGTCCTGCCTGCAGGCCGCGCCTCAGAGTTAGCCCTGTCCTCCCCGGCTTTGTCCTGCCAGGTCCCCTGTTCCCATCCATTTCCCCTGGATCTCCGCCCCTCACCCCGCGGCGTACACTGCTCTGAAAGCTGCCCGAGTTTGGTGAATGTTTCCACATCCGTGTGAACTCCTCCTTTAAGTGTCCGTGAACTTACGAATTTGCTAATGCAGCCATGGAGTTTTCCTAGCGTCCTGGGAGACACGATGTGTCACCTGGTCCACCTTCTTCTTGGGACAGGAACAGCCTATGGTTCTTGCTTAAATTTGCAGAAGGCACATGGGGTCCCATCTGGGAGTGTCTTTTTTTTTTTTCTTCTATTTTTGGTGGTGATGGGTCTCATTCTTGTTAAGGCTGGTTTCAAATCCTGTCCTGAAGGGATCCTCCCACCTCGGCTTCCCAGAGTGCTAGGATTACAGGTGTGAGCCACCGTGCCTGGCTTGACAGTGTCTTAAATGTGGAGAAAGTGCTTTCCTTTCCTCCCGTGTGCCACTGGGCTTTTGTTAAGCCCCTGTGGTGTAGATACCCTCATCACTGCCACCCTACAGGGAGAAAACCGAGTCGGAGGGGCCTCGGTGGTGTGGCTCAGCTCAGAGAGGACGGGGGTGGGGAGTGGGATCTGACGGCTCCTTCTGCCCTGCCAGGTCATCGCCCTCTCGGTGGGGAACAAGCCCAGCCTCACCAACCCCTTCCCTGCGGTGGAGCCTGCCGTGGTGAAGTTTGTCTGTGCCCTGCCGTCCAGGCTCACCCTCGCTCCTGTCTACACCAGCCCCCGGGTGGACCTGTCCTGTCCGCTGCTGCAGCAGAACAAGCAGGTGGTGAGTGTGGGCCATGCGTGGGGAGGGAGACAAGGGTGCCGCCCACTTGGGCAGGAGGACTGTGGTGGCCTTGACCGGCAATCTTGAGTGTGTGGTGGCTGGAGCTCTGTGCCGCACTGCCTTTATCTCAACAGCCAGCCCTGAAATGGGGGTGCTTTGATTCGAGCTTTACACATGGGGAGCCATGACTTGGAGAGACGAGGGGACTTCCCAAAGCCACATGTACTGTGGCAGTGCCAGGGGAGGATAGAGTCCTCTTCCATTCCAGGCGCACTGCCTCTCTCTGCTTGGCACTTTGTGGTTTCTAAAAATCTCTCTCTGTCTTCTGCGCCTCTGGCATGTTAGGGTGGGGCTCCGCCTCTAGGGACAGCGGGGCTAGGGGCTGCGGACGAGAGTGACCAGCTGCAGCATCCCATGGGGGTGGGGGACCCGAGGCTGTTTCAGCAGTCAGTGTTGGGAGGGGAAGAAAGTCCCTGGGGGGTCAGTCTAACAGCAGGGATGTGAGGGGAAACTTCAGGTCTGGTCCCCTTGGGACCAGTCCAGTCCCCAATTCCGAGGACAGTCAGAGCCCAGGGTGCTGAGCGTCTCCAGGCTCAGGGATGTGGACACCCTGTGGGCCCACACCAGCCCCTAGCCCTTCTCAGAGGAGGGCGTGGGCTTCTTCCCCCTGTCTGATGGGGGCTGCTGGAACACCTTCTCTGTGCCGGGCACAGTGCAGGCTTGAAACGCAGAGAATCGGCGCAGGCGAGGAGGCCGCCTCCTGGAGCTGACGGGGAGACTGGGGGCGCTGACAGGATGGATCCGAGGGGCATGTGCTTCGAGGGAGGCAGACAGGAGGAGGCTGCGCCAGGGGCCGGGCAGGGGCTCTGAGGAGGACACATGCGAGCTCACCCCGACCCGACACCGTGCACCGACTCACATGGTTTGTTCTTTGTGAGTCCCCAGAGCAGCCCCTTTCTCGTGGTAAAGCTCGATGAGTAGGAACGAGGAGTGAGCAAGCCATGGACACGCCGTGCCCGTGTCCCTCCTGCCTGCTGCCCTTGATTCTTGCAGACTCAGCTGGCTGGAGAAGCCAAGCAGGGACGTTGCTACGGAGAGGGGGCCGGGAGTGGACGTTGCTGAGCCGGAGAGCGAGACCTCTGTGAATTGGCTCAGGAACAGCCAGTTCGACTCCAGGCCGGCCCAACCTTCCTTTCTCCTGTGCAGAGAAAACCACATCTGACCTCTCTGTGCCTTCCCTGTCCTTAATGTGGGCTATGGGCCAGGTGAGCTGCACCTGAGCTGGGACTGCTGGTTGAACCCGGCACTGTCTCTCTTGACTGAAAGCTGCTGGTCTGGCCGTGTAGCTCAGCTCTGAATTGGCTTCCTGTGTCGTAGATGTCACCAGGAAATAATGGACCTTGAACACAGAGTTGCCGTGTGACCCTTCAGTCCTTAGATGAGCCAGCCATTCAGGCATGACCCCTGTGATTTGC